ATGAATGGTTATATATTTGGTATTACAAAGTTCCAATGAAAATGGCCCGTATTCTTTACTCCTAAACATTCATATCCAAATATTCTACAGGTACGTAGACCTCTTCAAAAGCAAGAACATAATAGGAAAATCACGATTAAAAATCAATATAAGGCAATTATTGAGTTCACTATACATCCAACAAATGGAATTGGTTAATGCAAACACAAAATACCATATAGGAATGTTCCGTAGACATACTCTTTCATGAGATGGTAGGAGGGGGATCAGGCGTCTGCAAATTGCCGGTGCAGCCTTGTCCATTACATCGATACAACTGGCTTCAACACCACTCAAAGCACTTCCAGTGAATGCAAAGGGTGCTGAAGTATTGTTAACTACGGGAGGAAACGAAGAAGTCGAAGAAGGGATTGGAGCGACTGCAATAGATGAGGCTACCAAGATGAGATGGAGTACGCTACGACATTCACGCAGAATATGCACGACCAGCCGACGTGTACTGGCGCGGCAGTGACATAGCATCACAAGACCGAAGCCCTCTGCCTCAAAAAGCGCGGACTTTTCGGCTAATTGTGGGGAAACCGCATTGTCCTTAAAAACAGATAGGATAGAAGAAGTAAAGTAATCTCTCATACATGAAGATTATTAAGCTGAATTAAAATTAATGTGGTTAGAACCTAATGACACACGAAAATTCTACCAGTATATGATATTATCACAATGAATGAATAAGCGTACAAAGATATGAATAAAAAGACGAATGTTGAAAAGATATCCGATTGTAGCAATTGATATAACTCATTCACAAACGGATGCAAAATGTATAAATAATAATAGCAATGAAAATAAACGTGTAGTTTTATCTAAATGTTTGCATGGATTTTACAAACTAATTTTAGGGAACCAGTAGTTAAGTTCGTCCGAAATAAATAACTAACATAAAATATATTAGTAAAAGTAAAATAGAGATCATATCGCATTGTATATAAGAAAATAAGACGTATTTATCCGAGAAATTATGAGAATTGTAATTAAATTGTCAGCTATTACAAATCTTGTCTGTGCCATTATAAGAAAAATAAATAATTGGCCTAATTCTCTATTTATTTATTTGAAGTTTCCGTATTCACATGCACTGTTCGTGCTGAAAAGACGCATAGGGAGTCAAAACTACAGATTAAGGAAAACATTAATGAGACATAATATGGTGTAAAAACATACAATACCATCGAAAGCTGACATTAACTCATCATGAGGCCATGCAATACCTAGCAAGCAATGGTAAATCTTCTTGCGTAGACTAGATAATTATAAATATGAAGACCAAGATGTAGTGGCCAATGGTATGGTCGCAGTCTCCTTTCGATTTGTACAATTGGATTGACCTCGTTGTCGCAACTTCGTCCTGTGGTCAAGGAGACTTAGTAGAACGCACCTAATCCGAAGTCGTCTGCCATAGAAGTTGTCATGATTCCCAGCATCAGACAGTGGACTTGGTACATTCTCAAACGCTTTGCCAGCATCGTAGTCGGTATCATCAGTGAGTTTTGCCATTCCCCGCACCAAGCTACGAACTCGTCAAGAGACAATACTAATTCGTAGCTTGGTGCGGAGAATGGCAAAACTCACTGATGATGCCGGCGAAACGTTTGAGAATGTACCAAGTCCACTGTCTGATGCTAGAAATCATGACAACTACTATGGCAGACGACTTCGGACTAGGTGCGTTCCACTAAATCTCCCTGACAACAGGACCAAGTTGAGACAACGAGGTCAACCCACTTCTAGAAAATTATATTTTCCCAAATATTTTCTGGTTCAGACTGTAAGGGACACGTACTATAAAAAGAACGTAACAAAGGTAACCGAACAAATAAATCGTTCAACGAGGCTTTGCCCCATATATACAAAAGATGATTATTACGCAATACCAATTCCTCCTGTCAGCCAACTACAATCTAAGTTAACTTGAATTCAGGTAAAATAGAACATGACATAAATAAGGCAGATCTATAATGGAGCTAAAGCGAGGAAAAAAACGATGAAAATGGCTCAATAAATAATTATTTTACTGAGGGACAATTAGGTCAAAATCAGTCTTGTAGATAAGTGAACAGCAAGGCTCACGACCCCATCAAGACCATAAATATAGCAAGAATCTCGGGTATTGCTGTATTTGCAAAGAATCAAACTATAAAATACAGCAAAATATGCATAATTGAGGGATTAAGGATTAAAAAAAATCTACACTGAAGGTCAAAATGTAGAGAATTATTAAAATATTCTGGAATAGAGATAGAATGGGAAAGTTAAATGGATAAATATGATGTAATAGATAGTAAAAGGAAAAAATATTGGAATATTGATCCTCACACTTCGAGTTAAAATAATTTTGTGACAAAACTATACTATTGATTGAATATTCTCAATAACTAAAAGTGACCTGATAACCGGCTTCTTTCTCAGAATATAGAATACACTCAACAAAATAAATTTGAGTGCAGTGAAGGTGGAAATAATTGCCTCAAGGAACCAAAAATGCATTCTTGGAGGTTAAGTTGGGATATGCCGAGATTACATATCAACATACCAACAAAATGAATATAGTAGATTCATAACACTAACTTTTTGAAGAGCAAGGCGCCAATTGCAGAGAAGGTGATATAAAACACGAAGACAGCAGTCTAACTGACGTGTTGCGGTATCTGCAACGTTTCGATGCACAAATTGAATAAAGCCTAAAGAAGAGGATAAGGAGACATGAGATTTAAAGTTTGACAACACAAGAGTAAATAATGTAGTTGATAGGTGAGAAAAAGATAAGTTATAAAGCTTTAGTTGGGTACTCTATAACCTTTTAGTATGAAATATATATTAAAGAAGCTTGAAAGTTTGACATGCATATTAAGTTTTAATAAGAGTAATTTTATAAAGGAATTATCTTCATTAAGAGTCTAAGCAATTATCTAAAGATTCTTATGTAATGTCTCTGTTTGCCAACATTGGCCCATACATTCCAAATGTCAGCCAAAGCATCCACATAACTACAGACATCAATTCCTATGAAAAGAAACTGGTTAAATAAATTTCTTTTTAATGTTATACCCAGTGATATCCTAAGTGACAATAAAACCATTTTTATAGCGATGGCCAATGCTGTTCAAAGTCCTGAGTCTTTAGAAATCGAATGAGAAAACTTTACTATAAAGGCTTTCTACTTTAGAGCGTATCGTCAGAAGAAGGGTTCGAAATTGATTTGTGTACGTTAAGAAGAAGAATGTCACCATTTAAGGCCACTGTTGAAGTTTCATTAGGTTAGGATATATAATACTTTTATAAAGAAGTGTTCAGTCTTTAATTCATATTTTTTTAATGAGGACAAGCAAATTGTTCTAGCTGATTAAGTAGACAATAGTTAGAAGA